AAAAAAAAAAAAAAAAAAAAAAAAGTTGTCCATTTCACAGATGAGGAAACCGAGGCTTGCCCAGTGGCAGCCACTAAGCTAAACGGTTGCAGGGTTGTAACCCAGATCCACAACCTCCCAAGGCATGGGACAGATTCTTTCCAGCTCTCTTCAAGGGGAGGAAGGTAGAGAAGAGCAGGAGGGCAACAGGCTGTCAGAGGGAGAAGTCCTCGCTCTCCTTTCCTCCCCTTCCCTCAGAACAGAAAATCTATTCTTCTGGACTGGCTGCCTAAGGCTATAAAACTTCCTTCTGCTTACATTTTCCCTCGTGGTAGACACTGGGGAGACGAATGTTCTCTCCACGGTAGTGTTATTTACAGAGCTTTCTGATCTGCAGCACATTTTAAAGTTGCTTGTGGCACTGTCTTCTGAGGACCGGTTGAGGAAATATAAGGACAGAGAAGATTCTATTGTCCCCATTTTACAGATATTGACCCTTACCAGGGCCTTGACAGAGTCTTGGACAGAATGGACATCCCAATGCCTAGGCGGAGGCCCCTGATGTCCCTGCTTCCAACTACGCTCTGGGCTCCAAAAAGAGAAAAAGTGAGCAGAGCAGAATGGCGTACAAAAGTCTGGGCTTAGAAGAGAAAGAAGGGAGGGAAGAGGAAGTGACATCTTGTCAGTAGGGACAGCTCTGGGGCAGGGCAGCTCCCTGGGTAAGCCATGAGGAGGCTTGAGGGTGACCAACTAGATAGGAAATCTGCAGTCCGAAAATTTCCAGTACACAGCATGGAGCAAGGCTGGTGCTAACGCTGCCTGCTCCCAGGAGCCCAGCCCCTCCACACAAAGCTGATTATTCTTAATTAAACTGCTCCTAAGGACTTCACCAACCCATTTGGTCCTCAGTCCTGTCCTGCCCTGAACATAAACATTGCTCCAGCCTGGAATCTAGCCTTAAAAGAACGTGACAGAGGGGGACAGCCGGGAAGAGGCCTGCTTCACTTTGACAATCAGGAATTTCTCTAGGGCGATCTCCTTTGTAAACAAATAAACAAATCCCTGCCATGTGTTTAGATATGACACTATACGGTGCCTTCAAATGCCTGATCTCATCTTATCCTCGCACAGATGGGAGCCTGGGTCCCAGGGAAGAGAGTCAGAGTCAGGATTCCAGCCCAGAGCCACATAGTTGGAATTGAGATTTTAATTTTAAGCTCCTTTGGGGATATTCTTTTTTTTGGGTACCGGGGATTGAACTCCGGTCTTTGTGCTTGCAAGGCAGGCCACCAAACCACTGAGCTAAATCCCCGGCCCTGGGATATTCTTAAATGTAGAGAATTTTAGGTTAGGGAAAGAAACTGCTCTTTCCTCCCCCTGAAGCAGCAGCTTTTTGAGAGCCACACACATAGCCTAAGGGACTGAGGGAGCTTATGATTGGACAGAAGGTTCTTGATAGAGCAGTGGCTATGGAACAATGTGAGAAGGATCATGAATCTCCTTGGAGTCCAGGCACCTCCAGTCTGTCGCTGGGATTCTGATGGTAGAGATCTATGTTATCTCAGAGCACTGCCACAGAGAACTACTGTGTGGTCAGAACTGCCCTGCCCAGCAGCCAAACTCTGCAGTAAGGGGCCTGGGCCCTGAGAAAGGCCTTAGGCGCTAACACTGTTTCCTTGTGCACTCAAGAGCACACACGGACAGTTCTGATTCAGCCTGGAGCTGAGAAGGGAGAGGGCCAGATCCAGATTCTGGGACACCAGCCCCTGCCCCGGGAGCAGATCCTGGGGAACCTCCCGCAGGCTCTGGGAGGAGTTTGGCTAACTCCTGGGGACGGGATGTGAAAGGTCAAAAGGACAAGTGGGAAGATAGGCCAGGCTCTCAAAAGGTCCAGCCCCAGAGATGGACGGGGATGAGAACAGCCTGTGTCCACTGTGCCTGAGAAGGGACAGACCCTGCCAAGCAGAAGTGTGACTCACCTTCCCATCCCTGTCACCTCTGCCAGTGGAGACCAGGGCCGGCCATGCCTGAGACACCAAGGAAGCCACGGGCAGAGACCAGCAGCCCAAGTCCCTGGCCTCACAGAGCAGGCCCTGACTCTCTGTCCAGCACCTCACATGTACTCTGGGTGACCAAGGCGAGGAAGGGAGCAGGGAAACCCGGGCCAGCGCCATGCTTAACATGCACCAGCAAGTTCCTGCTTATTTCCAGACTTCCAGATGATTAGAAAACAGAGAGATCCAGAAAGGAAAAAAAAATCGGGTTAAAAAAATCAGTGCTTTAAAACATCCTTGCTTTTACAACATTAATGCTTTAACCACCCCCTTAATTTATGTGTCGTATGACTATGCTGGTTTCAAGAAAATTACAGGCTTTTTTTTTTTAAGAGATAGGGTCTCAGCACATAACCCAGGCTGCCTTGAACTCAGCCTCTCGAGTAGCTGGGATTACGGGCACACAGCAATTACAGGCCTTATAAAACATAAATTAATAATTTACCAATTATAAATGATAAGAAACCCAGAAACAAGGTTCAACTTTTAGTCCTTTCCGTGTGTCTAGAGACTGTAAAATCAATAGCAGATAAAGCCAGGAAGGAGACATGGGAAAAATGGCCTTGAGAGCCCCCTGGAAAGGTCTGCCTGGGAAAAGACTCCCTTGTGGGATGAACAGAAGCTTCAGGGCTGCAGAAGGCTCTGACCCTCCCTCCCTCTTCCTTCCCAAGACCCATGTGCTGCACGAGGACAAACATGAGGGGCAAGAGGACATGCACAGAGGGGTCATGCGAGAGTGGGCTTGCTTATGTGTAAAGGACCGGAGAGGACCACGAGGTCTGTGTGCGAGAGTGTGCAGGCCAGGGTCAGCACTGTGGATGTGTGGCTGTGTGCATCTGTGTGTAGGTGAGAGCTGTGCTGAGACATTCTCTGCCTGTCCTGAGCGCTATGTCTCCTTTCCTGGGCCTTGTCCCGTTCAGCTTCTCCTGAGTGTCTTGGCCTAGGACTCGACCGGCAGGGAGGGCCTTTGACCCCTCTCATCTTTTGAGCAGAGGCAGGAGCAGGCAGCCCAGGCACACACAAAGGCAGGGGAGCAGTCCATCAGGACCATGGGAAAAGATCCTCCAGCTCCCTGGTCCAGCGCCACTCAGGCTAGCGGGAAGTTCTTGATACCTTTCTTCAGTACTACCAACTGCAGAGGGAGTGGGGACAGGAGTAACAGGAAGTGTTTCTTCACATCTTCCTACTCCTTTCCTGTTTATTTTCCCAGGAGCCTCCACATCTGGGGAGGAATTCTTGGCATAGCTCTCGCTGGCAGGGACCGACCCTCTGTGAGCCACGTGGAGGGGGCATGGGAGGCCCAGGCCTGGGCAGGCAGGGCTGGATTGGGCTGTCTGAATGCCCCATCCCTGCGCAAGTTCTATTCTGGGAGGCAGGAGACCCGGCTCTCTGGTGGCTATGAAATGGCTTCTCAGCCTTGGCAACCCACTTCTTCCTCCGTTCTCAGTTTTTGTGAACAGTGGGGTCTGGACTTTCTTGGTGTGTTTCAAACCATTCTCAGCAAGGAAATTTTTTCTTGTTCTCCCCCCCCCAATGAATGCATTAGCTAAACCTCGACATATATTCCAGATCTAAAAATCAGAGCTGCACAAGTCGGCACAGGAGTAGACTGGGGATAGCCTAGGGCCACCTCCTCTACCTGCCTCCCCCAGAGGCCTCAGAAAAGGTGCTGTTCATAAACCATTGCATTATGGGTCAGAGGAACATCTTACATGTTACGCCCCAGGGCCTTATGGGTCATGGATGCTAACATCTCTCTGATAAAGGCAGGGATGATTTTCTTCTGGCACAAATGGAGAGACTGGGGCCAGAGAGGTGATGGACCTTCTCCAGAAAGCCTCAGCACCCTGATTCCCAGCCCACAGTGCTTCTCCACCAGGATTCCCATCCGCGGGGTAACTGGGCCTCAGACAAGGAATCAGAGCCTGGGGTCCTTGCTACTCCCTCACCTCCTGTGCAGCTGTTGAGCTCTGCCTGCCTCCCCTGGGGCGTCCTGGCGTCTGCTCCAGAGGTCCAGCAGGCTAACGACCCCCGGTCTCCTCCCACAGGTGCGACACCTGGATCATGAAGTCGTCCCTCTGCTGGCTCCTCTCACTTCTCATCTTGGCCTCTGTGGCCCAAGGCCAGTCATCAAGAAGACCAAGACCTGGGCCCGGGCCCGGACGCAGGCCCCGGCCCAAGCCCAAGCCCACACCCAGCTTTCCGCAGCCCCATGAGCCAGCAGAGCCCACAGACCTGCCTCCCCCGCTCCCTCCCGGCCCTCCGTCCGTCTTCCCCGACTGCCCCCGGGAATGCTACTGCCCCCCGGACTTCCCATCGGCCCTCTACTGTGACAGCCGCAACCTGCGCACCGTGCCGGTCATTCCGCCGCGCATTCACTACCTCTATCTCCAGAACAACTTCATCTCGGAGCTGCCGGTGGAGTCCTTCAAGAACGCCACGGGCCTGAGGTGGGTCAACCTGGACAACAACCGCATCCGCAAGGTGGACCAAAGGGTGCTGGAGAAGCTCCCGGGCCTGGTGTTTCTCTACATGGAGAAAAATCAGCTGGAGGAGGTGCCCTCGGCCCTGCCCCCAAGCCTGGAGCAGCTCAGGCTGAGCCAGAACCTCATCTCCCGGATCCCACCTGGCGTCTTCCGCAAGCTGGAGAAACTGCTTCTCCTCGATCTGCAGCACAACAAGCTGAGCGACGGTGTCTTTAAGTCTGACACCTTCCAGGGCCTCAAGAACCTCATGCAGCTCAACCTGGCCCACAACATCCTGCGAAGGATGCCGCCCAAGGTGCCCCCGGCCCTGCACCAACTCTACCTGGACAGCAACAAGATCGAGACCATCCCCAGCGGGTACTTCAAGGGCTTCCCCAACCTGGCCTTCATCCGGCTGAACTACAACAAGCTGTCCGACCGAGGGCTCCCCAAGAACTCCTTCAACATCTCCAACCTGCTGGTGCTGCACCTGTCCCACAACAAGATCAGCAGTGTGCCCGCCATCAGCAACAAGCTGGAGCACCTGTACCTCAACGACAACAGCATCGAGAGTGAGTGGGGTGACGCTCACCCCCCTATCCCAGGAGCCTCGGGGTGGGGGGTCCTGACAGCTTCCACTGGGCCGGGGTACAGCTCCGAGGGAGAGTGCTTGCCTGGTGTGCACAAGGCCTTGGGTTTGGCCCTTGGGGCCATATTTTGTTTGTTTTTCTTTAAGTATCCACTTTGGCTCTGGACTTCTAATCCTGGCCTTACTTCTTGCTATATCTGTGTGAGCTTGAAAAGATTCTCTGTCCTCCTCTATGAGACGAGAATGGTAATAACACCTTTTAGCACAAAGTAGACAGGTGAGTAGGGATTTAATAACGAAATACGGATGAAGGGTGCGAACACCTCGGAAGCCAACAGTTCTATTCTTTTGTCCCGTCTCTCCATACACTGGGTAGACGTCGGACACATTCCAGCACACGCTCCGAAAAGCAAAGCAGACACTGAAATGCTCACTCTGACGTACCCTAGGCTGCCCGCTTCAGAAGGCCACAGCTCTGGGCGGAAGGTCTTCCCAAAGCTGGGCACCAGTTTGGCAGTGTCTGTGAAAGGGACCCGGAGAGTCACCATTACGCAGCTGGTGAAATCGTGGCAGCCAGGAAAAGCTGCTTTGCGAGTCTCTCTGGAAGGCTGAGTGTCAGACAGTACACTTAAGGGAGAGCCTGCCACGGCTCCATTTACAGGGTGCAGGTCTGGGGTGTCCACTGCTGCCCACAACAGGAGGCTGGGAGCCTCCATTTTGCTTCAGTCAGAAAGGTCTGTTCTGAGCAAGAGTGTCAGCAGAAAGGCTCAGGAACAAGCAAGAATAGCACCTGGTCCTTCCACAAACACAAGCAGTGCCGCAGCTGAAGGATAAAGGTGGCAAAGGGGAAAGAAAAGGACCCCAAACAAGATTAAGGATACTTGGTTTCCAATCCAAAGAGTGAGAGTTTGTTGAAGTTTCTACCATCTTGAAACAAATAGGCAGAACAGGCCGGGTCTTATCTGGGATAATTATAAGAAGTGGGAAAGGATTGTTTCCTTTTCAACCTTGCAAGAAACAAATTGGAGAAGAGAGAAAATCTGTCTAATTTTACCCTGCAGGTAGCTATTAAAGTGGAGCACACTACCCCCAGGAAGCTGTGTAGGCTGAAGGTAGAGATAAAAGGACACCTCAATTAATCAATGGCTGACGTTTCTGCGAAAACAGGCTGCTGACGGCTCTGTCAGCCTCTGGAAGGCAGAAAAGTCACAGCCCCGCTGCATGGGCCCGCCCCCACCCCCACCCCCACAGTGTGACACCATCACGACAGGCAGACGGCCGAGTCAGTGTCACGGTGATTTTCCAGCAGTGCACATCCTGTGCCACCAGTACTGCAAAGTCCTTTTGTCACCAACATCCTCCCACGGATGTGCAGGGCGGGCGGGCAGCAATTTCACCATGCACAGATTGGGGGACAAGTATCCAGGTGGTGAGGCCAGAGTCACGAAGTCCGTGTGGAAAATTTCACCTGTGTCAGGGCCCTTCCACGACTCCAACAAGGAAGGAAGAAAAACGGGAGAGGAAAAGGCAATAACCATGACTCCTCCCTCTCTCCCTTCCCTCTTCTATCTCCATGATGAAGGCTTAGAAAGGATTTTAAAATGTGAATACAATTTAATAGAAGTACAATCAAAATAGAAGACAATCTGGTTAATGTAATCTAACAAGAGGTGAAGGAAAAAATGGAATCCCAGGCCACAGACACATCAGGACCACCAGGTTCCTGATCTCCCCGTCCCCTTTCCGCTTCCTGTCATCCCTATTTCTGTTAATGTCACCATCTTCCATCCATCCTCAAGCAAAACATCTGACCCACAGGGAAAACTCCGGAGGAATCCTCACATCCACCTGCTGGCTCAGGACAGCCTCTCTTTATTGCTCCTCCACACACACTTGGCTAGATTCATTCATCTTTCTGTAGTATAAACCTGACCGTGGGGATCTCTAAGGACCAGCCTGGATTAGCACCGGGGATCTATTGTTCAGATGCCTAACAGGCGACTCTTCAGAGTGAACTGTAATATCCGTTATCGATTATTTCTAATTCAAGTCATTTTACACATGGATAAACTAAGCCCGGAGCTTAGAGCAACCCGCCCGTGGTCACACACTTCCAAAGCCATCCGGTTCCAGAGAGGACTCCAGAGTCCCGACTCCGAGTTGGCCTCCCCTTCCCTTCCTCCCCTGCACCTCCCACCCACCCTGCGGCTGACTTTCTTCTTCTCCCTGCAGAAATCAACGGGACGCAGATTTGCCCTGGCAACCTGCTGGCCTTCCAGGACTTTTCCTCAGATCTGGAAAACGTGCCACACCTTCGCTACCTGCGGCTGGATGGGAATTACCTGAAACCACCCATCCCGCTGGACCTCATGATGTGCTTTCGCCTGCTGCAGTCCGTGATCATCTAGGCCCTGCCCTGGCTGGACCTTCTCTGACTGCACTTGAAGGCTGGTGGCCCGGGTGCCTGACCCACCATTTATTTTTCTGTCTCCCCCTCTTTCACTCCTCCTATGTCTCTCTTGTTTCCCCTTTCTGAGGACAGGAAATGCCATATGTTTTGCTGCAGCTCTGGAGCAAGATTTCCTAGGACGTTATTTGGTCCTGCCCAGTTCAGTCACCCCTGCAGTCACGTCCAAACTTCTGGCCTTCTGTGGTGTCCCTGCTCCAGACACACAGACGACTAAAGACCTCACATCCCTTATCCTCTCCTTTTCCACACAACGCTCCTGGGCAAGGCTGGGCCGTGGACTGAGATCTGAGCTTGATCCTGGCCCAGTGAGAAGCAGACCCTCCAGGGAAGCTCACATGTGCACTTCTGGAGAGCCCTCTGGAGACTCCCGGTCCTGGGCAGCTCTGCCCTGAAGAGGCTGAGAATCCAGGTCTTCTCACCCAAGGATTCTTTCTGCCCAAACTGCCGTTCCATCTTCACCCTGCTCCCTGGCACTGAGCCGCTGTCTGCCAGCTGCATTCCGCAGGAAGGAAGCACAGGTGGCGCTCGGGCTCAGGGTTCCCACAAAAGCCCACAATCTGGCCATCTCCGCACAGGGCAGAGTTGGAAGCCCCTCCTCCTTCTGCAGGGTAAACATGGCACACACTGTCCCGGCTGGGCCTCAGAGAGGAACAGTCACGGAGGAAAAGAGCTGCTCAAGGAGCTAGCCACTGGCTGGAAGGAGAGGGTGGGGTGCAGAGCCCCAGGATGGGCCAACACTGTGCGTGTGGGTGAGTCTGGCAGTGCCCCTCGCCCAACCTCGACGAGAGGCCCGGCCCCACCCAACCATCTGTTTTCTGTTAAGTGTGGACGGCCCCGCCACTTCCACTAACAACCCCGCCCCCCGGGGGAGGGAAGGGGGAGACGGGGAAGAAGGGGCGGGGCATGTAGAAATCTCCCAGAAGTCTCTTCTGCATCGAGAATGGGCCTCTATCGCCAAATCAGACACATCAGCGACACCTGGTGGTTGCTGAAAGTCACAATTGGTCCGGTCCTCTCACCCGGCATCTGGGGTGACTGGGGTGATACTCCAAGGTCAAGGAGCTGGTGTCAGGTCTCAGCTTGGAAGAGCTGTGGGTGATAGGCAGGGTGTCGCTCCCCTCTGCAATGTAAAAGGCCAAAAGTCCACGGAGAACGAGCGCAAATGGGAAGCCTGGGAGCCCAGGTGCATAGGCCATTTAGCCTTGATCCTGCCAGGTCACTCTCTGAGCTCCCACATCTGTAAACCCAGGCTCCTCTAAGCCCCACCCCCCAGCCCTGTGGTCCCATCTGCCACCCTCCTCTCTAGAACACACCCTGATGCAAGACAAGTCCTGGCTGGCATCCCTTTCTTTGCAGTGATCTACGGGCTATCTCTCCCAGGCAGGCTTCTCTGCCTTCCTTACTTGGCCCTGGTAGCTGCTGGGCAGGTCTCCAGGTGGAACCCTCACCTTTATCTCTGACTTCCTGGGGTGCCGCCCCTTCATGGCCCCCCGGGGTATGTGTTGGTGGGGAGTACTGGGAGGAGGATGTCCTAGAAATGAGTAAGACAGTCTCAGTAGCCCCCACGAGTTAGGATGAGAACTGCTCCTGAGGATCTTAAGACATTGGATTAAACTGGGCCCTTAACTTCAAGAAATCTCCATCACACTCCTGCTCAACTCTCTTTTGCTAAACACAGAAAACAGTGCCCACTTCATCCGGGCCTCCTTCCCCTGCGGCTGGTTTCTCCAAGGCTCCTGCTTAGCCAGTCTCTTAGTGTGGCTGTAAGCAACCTGGTGCTACGCCTGGACGAACCCCTTCCCACTCCTCATGCGCACCTGAAACCTCATTCTTGTCGACGAGGCCCGTGGGCGAGCACAGCCCTCACGGCTCTCCGGGCAGCCTGGTCCTGCAAACCTGAACTTAGTATCAGCAGCCACATCCCATTGCCCCATCCAGAGTAAGTCTGCTTCCTCCGCTGCCCTGTGCAGCTGTCAGTCAGAGGGGTGAGAGGGGCCCCCATCCCTGCACAGTGCTGGTTTCCCTCGGACTCAGCAAGTCCCTCCTCCTGACACAGGCTCTGCTGGCATCTGCGTACATAGGTCCGTGCTTTTGGCATCTGCAGATTCAGGCGTGGAAGGAGGTGTGTGTGCGTGCTCTGTACACAGTCCTCTCCTCTCTTGCAGACCATGTTAGCTCTGAACCAACTTTCCCATTTCAATGCGCTTCACAGCAGAGGAAATAAAGTAATATGAAAACACCTTGCCTGAACTTGACAATGTGAACAGGTCGAAAATCATACTTTAAAGCTCCTGCCCCTCACCTCTTATTTGTTTTGAGGAGGACAGTGGAGAAAAGGTTTGATTCTTAAGAAACCTCTAAGAAAGCTATCCCAAAGTCTTTTCTTGGATAATTTCTCCAAGACTCATAACCCTCATGAAAAAATTATTCCTAAAGTCGGACCAGAAATCTAAGAGTTACACTTGAAGCCCCAAGCTCCAGGTTGCTTTGACTCACAGATACTAATTGCCGAGGGTCTCCCGGTGCTCACTGCCAAGGAGCATGGGGAAGACACAGGACAGTCACCTTCACTGGCCACGTAAACCTCAGACTCATCGGGGCTGTGTAGTGTGACGTGAGCCGTGGGAGAGCCAGGTCAAGGGAAGAAAACAGAGCCGGTCATCTGGAATGTTCTACAGGGCACACGGAAGGTCGGCAAAGGTGAGAACAGGGCCCTTGAGCTCTCCGCTCAGATGGACCCTGACTCTGGAAAAGCGATGCCACCTCTGGGCCTGCACCATCTTCTATGGGACGGACACGGCCGGGTGATACCCTCACCTCTCCCCACCCCAGCCTGTAAACACCTGCTCTGGTTCGAGTCAGCAAGGGTTCAGCAATCACTGACTGTGTGCTGTGCTCCCAGCCAAGAATTCAAGGATGGGCAGCATAGACCCTAGCCCCTTGAGGAATCCGTAACTTGGTAAAGGGAGAAAAATCCACAAATTTATATTTCTGTCCTAAGTGTTCATGATCACTCTGTGTTGTATAAAAAGTATAGAGGAGGGGCCTTTGCCTCTGGCTGGGGGCCAACCAGAAAGGCTCCCATCACTTGAGTTGGTTCCTAGGGGTGAATCAAATCTTGCCTGATCAGAGGGGGGAAAAAAAGCACAGGACCTGGAGGGGAAACAGCAGGGGCAAAAAGGTAGGAATGCTGGGGACTCCTGTCAGGAGTCTGCCTTAGAGCCATGCTACCAGCCCTCGGTAGGAAAGATACACAGGAGGGTTCCCGAAATTCCCCCCCTTCTCCCTGCCCACGACTGGGGCAGAAATAGCGTTTGCTGGGCAGACTTCTGTCCACACCGTGTGCCAGCTCCATTCCACCAACACGCTTTGTGCCTCTCCTAATGAGATGAGGATCGGGCGCCCTCCACCCACCCTTTCTCAGGCTCTCGGGGAGCAGAGCTGCCCGGAACAGCGTGTAGCTGGCCGGTTCCCACACAGGTCATGCCAGTCCACGCGGAAACTCGCTGAAATCCATGGGAACGAGAGCGAGCCACCAGCGAGCTGGTGAAAGCAAAAATAGAAGCCGGGAGAAGGTCCCTGCCCAAGTGGCCCCCAGGCTGGACTGGGGAGGGGAGCCTGGGGCCAGGAGGGAACTCAGCCGGCTGTGAGGAAGAGGGGGCAGGAGGGCCTGTGGTGGCGGCAGGCAGGGTGGCTGGGGAATGGGTGAGCAGTTGGATTGCATTCCTCACAGGAATGCACAGCCTGGGCTCAGAGGGGAAGCTTCCAGGCTGATTGTGAGGGACGGAGGGGCCCTGGCAGCGAGGCCTGGCTGTGGGGGTGGACATGCAGGAGAGCTGCTCACAATCGGAATGGGCCATCTGCCTCCTGGGCGTCCCCCTCTGATTCCAGGGCCCCTGATGGCGGAGCTCCCCAGATGGGGGGTTGCCAGGGACGCAGGAACGTGCATTACTCTTGCGCCTGGCTCTCGCATTGCGGGAAGCTCCCCACCCCCAACCAGCAGCCCATGCCCCCTTGGGGAACTGTTGAGTCTGTGCCTTCTCCTGGGGCTGCAGGCACAAGCTGAGCTCTGCCAAGGCCATCTGTTCTGAGGGCCCAAGACGTGCCGTCTCAGGACTCCCAGAAGGAGGTGGAAGAAAAGAGGGTCAGGGGAACCACAGAAGACTCTGGCCTGAGACTCGAGAAATCGCTGTGAAACCTTGAGCAAGTCCTCCCCTCTCTGGGCCTTTCTGGGCCTCAGTTTCCTCCTCTGTACAACCAGGGGTTTGGACTAGGTCACGTCAGGTGGCCTCACAGCAGGGATCCAGGACGTGGATAATAGAAGGAAATGGGGAGCAGAGGGCATCACTGATCAACTCGGCCAGAGTGGGGTGCAGGCTGCAGAATCGGAGGAAACGTTTCAGATGCCTTCACCCCAGCCTGCCCAAGACCAAGGAAAGCAGCACCTCTCCCAGTAAGTGCGTCTCCCTGGCCCCAGAGTCACTGCCCCTGAACAGGAGGTACTTTCTAGGGCCCAGCCCCACGCCCAGGGCCTTCCTCCTGGGGGTCTGGAGAATTTCCTGCATCCTCCTCTGATCATTATCTGTGAATTTGGCTTTCAAATCCTACGCTCCCCCCTGTTCACCTTCTTTTTGGATCACCTGTACCTTCAAATCCTACCTCTGTTGATTTTGTTCAACATGGTTTCTTTGTGGGGGCTGGGTAGTGGGGCTGGTTGGCACCTCCGCTCAGCCTCTTTGACCAGGGGATTCCATCCATGAGGTGGAGCGCTGTCATGCTTGGGCTAAAGAAAAACAGCTGGGACGGCGAGCTTTATCTCCATCCCGCAATCCAGCCTTCCCAGGAGTTCAGAATCTGGAGGGTGAGGAGCCTCCCTTCTGCCTCTCTAAGACCTGGCCTTAGTAGGAGGAGGGTGGACCAGAAAGGAAGGCTCCAGAGCAGGAAGAGGGAGACAGGAGTAAGGTGGGTTCATCAAGCAGAGGAATGCCAGTGGAGACCCCTGAGGAAAGAGGAGGGGAAACAGCAGGATCAGAACGAGAGAGATCTGACTGGACAGTCAGCCTGGCTTCTCCACCCTCCAGCCAGCTGCTGCTTTCAGCCCAGCCCTGGTGCAGTCCATCAGAGTCCCCACCTCCCTGGAAGCTGTTGGGCTCCATCTGAGAGCCAAAAGCATCTAAAGGTAAGGCGAGAGGTTGGAGGCCTTAGGCCCACGGATCCGCAAATGTTCAAGGGTCCTGTAGATTGGCTGGGAATGGGAGGTGAGGGGAAGACTTGCTGCTGCTGGGGCTGCCCCTGGGCCCAGGAGGAAGACCTACCAGACACGTGTGCCGCTGGCTTTTGGGAGGGAGGCCTCGCCAGGTACACTATGGCTACACCTGTGTCCACACTTCCACAGCCACCCCGCACACACCTCTCCATCCCCGTGTGCGGGCACTGCAGGCACGGCGTGAACATTCAGTCACGCACATCAGGGCACACGCGGAGATTTACACACATCTCGGGACACTGCCGCGACCACACACAAGGAGGCTCTTGTGTCTGTAGTTATCCGTTTCTAAAGAGCTGCACTTCCAAGTGACTTTACGGAGCTGTCTTCCTCCGCGTGTGGTGTGTCAAGCTGTAAGCTGTCTCCAGATGACTGAGTGTCACTGAGAAGAGATGCGCCTTATTCATTTCTGTCCTCCCAGAGAAGAGTCCCTCCCACCACTGTTTGGTGAGTAGCAAGCCTATGCCAGGAGTCTCTATGCATTGTAGAGTGGACACCGGCATCAGGTGCCACAGGAGGAGGGGCCGGAGACGCCTCTAGGTGCAGCCCCAGCTTTTAGGAAGCCCCAGCTTAGGGAGGGGTGGGGGCACCAGGAAGCGAGTGTGACGCGTGGCAAGTCTGCCAGGTGTGGTGGGAGCAGGGTACGTTTGAAAGCTGCTCCCCAAAGCCTGAGAAAGTTCAGGCAGCTGCGCTTCCTCCTGCCCGCTGCCCAAGGCTGGGCACTCTCCCCCTTCCCCACCCCAGACTCCCATGAGGCTCTCTTCTTGCCTGGTGCTGCAGCAGGGAGGGCCCACTTCTGACCCTGAGGAGAGGCAGAGGAGAGAAGAACCCAGCCACGGCAAAGGCCATGCGAACGGAGTCCGGCATGTGGGGAACCCCGCCCCGAGCCTGAGCGACTCCAGTGAGGTCGATGACCGAGAGACCGCGGGGACCAGCTCCCTGAGGTGAGGGACACAGCGGACTGACCGCATGCCCTGCAAGAACCGGGGTCAAGCAGGGCCCTTTCCTCCTGCCCTGTTGTGTGGGTCTCTCAAGCCCCCGGCTCATCCTCTAGGGTGCAAACCCTCACTCGTCTCTATTCTTGCCTAGCAACTCGTCCCTTCAGAATGCCACGAACCAGGACACAGACCTCCCGTCTCCTGGTCCACTGGTGGCAAACTTGGCAGTGCCCCACCCCAAAGCCAAATATCCCTCCGATGCCACCAAGCAGGATCATAAGCCATGTCACACTGGGGCGAGGATCAGCCGTGCCCTCAAATTCTGCCTAGAAAAGGAAAGGCCACTCCAGCCCTACCTCTTTCCTTAGGCTGTGCTGCAGCTGAAGTTTCTCAGCAGCACCTGCGCCTCTGCTGGGTGGGTGTGCAGCAAGTGCAGAGCCGGCCTAGGAAATCCTGAGAACCGGGTTCTAGCTCTGCGCCTTGCTGCCAGCTGGCTCCCTGACTCTCATCCCTCCTCCTCCTCTCTGGGCCTCAGTTTCCTCATCTGCATAATGAAGATGCTGGACCTGACCTTCTTCCCTATGGTGACTCTGCAAGTTTGAAATTGGTCACCAAGGTTTCCAAAAGCCAAAGTTGAGCCCTTTTCAGGACTTACTGTGTGCTGTCCCCAGGTTAGAGTGACCAGGAAAACTCCTCCACACCGGGGTCGGTCCCGTCCAGAACACTATAGCCACAAGGACACCGTCCTCCAACCCCGTGATGACCAGGCCCACTTTGCCAACCATGCCGGGCTTACTGGGCTCCCCAACCAGCTAAGGTGAGTCCCCAGTGAGATAGTCACAATATCCACTGGTCATAAGCTAGGAAGCCATGATTCTGAACCGGGGGCTGTCAAAGTGGAGTGTGCTCAGGCCTGAGACTGGCCTTTATCGGCAGGGAGAGGAAGGGAGAGAGTCACAGTAAGAACAGAGAACAAAAACCCAGCGGAGAAGCTGGCTACCCCCAGTGCTTCTGCATGAAGGCACAAATTGGATAGGAAGCACAGCAACGCAAGGACTCCTCTGTGCCCCGGCAAAGCCATCGTCCCTTCATTAAGAGCAACACTCGGGAAGCAGGTTGAGTGGTAATTGGATCAGAGACAATTAAAAGCCTGTAGAGAAGAATAAATTACTTTGTGACTGTCACTTGGCATGGGGGCAAATGAAGCAGTCACACAGCTTTCAGCACTGAATTTCCCTGGTCAGCAGCTCTCCCCGCCCCCCGCCAGGCCTTCCTGGAGACTGGCATGCTGGTGTCCAGCAGTGGGGTCTCATACTACACAGGGATCAGGAACTGGGGTGCTGGAGGGGCCGAAACGCGTTCTGAACTTGCTGGTGCTCAATGTCCCTGCTGTCCTCTTGCCCCGGTAGAGCCAGGGTCCCGGGACATCCACCAGCAGCACTTAGGACTGAACTCTCCGGCAACATCATCTCCTCCACTGCTCACGATGCCTTGTACCTGCTGCTGGCTCTGCGGGACCTGATCCTGTTGGAGAACCAGCTGGCCGCTCTGCCCATGCTGCCCCACAGCCTCGAGCTGCTGGATGTCCGCCTGAATCAGCTCGAGCTCGGGGATACAGCCTGGGGCTTTCAAGGGGAGTGGGGCCTGCAGCCAGCCCTGTGCCACCTACCCCACCCCTACCCTCAGCACTCACAAGTGTCCCTGCCTCACCCTTGCTCTGGGGTGTGAGCTCCCTGCCCGTTGTTTTCTCGGGTGTCGCTTATTAAAGGTTCTTTGGGTTGGAAGAAACTCTCTCTGGCTCAGGAGGAGGATTTTTCCAGCGTGCTATCCCAACAGCCTCCATGAACCGGAAGCACAGTGCTACCAGGCCTTGTGAGCCTGTTACTGGGAGGCAGGGCTGGGGGGCAGCAACTGAGATCCTGCTGCGGACCCCAAGTCCCTCATCTTGACTTCTTTGCATGCATTTTCTTCACCTGTTCTCCCCTCCACACAGCAGCGTCCCTGGGGACTCATAGGTTCTGCTCCCTGGAAGTCCCGGCTTGCCCATGCTGTGTCCACCCATCATTTTCCCTCCAAACCCACCACTCGGTGACTGACCGTTGTCCCCGTATGGTCACATTCTCCAGAGGCACAATCTGCTAGGTCACGCGCTGGCCGGTCATTGGAGGAAAGGGCTCCCCGGGGCTGGGCAGGGCCCGGTGCAGTTCTGCTGAGCAGGTGAAGCAGAGAGGACCAGGCTGACCGCACTTCCTTCCCGGGTACTCCTGCACGGCTAGGAACGGCCTCCGGAGCCCTGATCACCTTCATTCAGATGCTCTGTCCCTTTCCTAAGTACAGGAGCACAGTTCACGACATTTCCTTCAGCACTGGAGGACACAGGTGGCCATGGGCCCCTCGGATTATACCGCCTATGACACTGGCTGTCTTAGTTTGTGGAAGTGGATTCTGTACTCCTCAAACGAAAGAAGCTGCCTAGGGACACATTTCCCAGACTGTATCCCCACAGTTAACCAATGCATGACTACAGAGAACTTTCCACAAACCAACCCACATTTAGAAGCATCAAGTCAGTCAAACTCTTTTTTCCAGTACTGGGGACTGAACCCACGAAGTGCCGAGCTATCTCCCCAGCCTCCACCCACCCTCGCCTTCTTTCTTTCAGTTCATTTTGAGACAGGGTCTCATTATTTTGCCCAGGATGGCCTTGAACTCGCGATCGTCCTGCCTCAGCCTCCAGAGTAGTTAGGGTCACAAGTGTGCTCCACCACATCTGACCAGAGCTGCTTTTTGAAGCAGGATGAAGGCACAGTCATGCCTTAGTCCCTCTGCCAGCCCACACCCCAACACCTTCCGCTCTGACTGCCCTGGACCTGGGGGTGCGTGCAAGACGCCGTGCCCACACCACTGCTGCAGAATCAGGGGCTCGCGTGCCCTCAGGCCTGTTTCCCAAGTGAAGGGCCGGGTCCACAGGCCTGCCGAGTCCCTCACTGCCCCTGCCCTAAACAACGTCCAGCTGTCTCCACGTTAGCAAGCATCTCTGCCCTGTCTCGAGACTTTTCTCAGCCTAGGGGAGGCAGGGGCTTTGGAGCCAGAAGATCCTGGGCTCCTGGGTGAGGTGCTTTACCCCTCTGATCTCATTTCCTTGCCTGCAAAATGAGGACAGTGATTCCTACCTGACGCCTATGCCGTGGAATTCACTACAACCACATTCACCGGCGTAGGGACAGCAGATGCTCCCTGAATGGGAGCCGTGCATCCTCCCTGCTCTCTGGGTGCCCAGGGGCTTCTCTCGCCCCAGTCCTGCTCCCACTAGCCAACCTGGTTCACCTGGGATAGAGGCTGCCTCTGCGCGCCTTGGGGTTCTCATCCCCGGCAGGTCCCTCTGATGGCAGAGGAGTGAGGCTGCCCTGAAACGTCCCGTCCTCCCTCTCCCTGCCCTCCCAGCCATCGCTGCAGCCCCCCATGCTCCCCCAGATGCCAGCAGCTCAGTGCAACAGCTCCACCCATGCGCTCACTTGGAGTTGATCTGTTAGCTCCTTAAAGAACCAAGCAGCCCACGCCAAGCACCCAGCACAGAGTCTGACATGTGGCTGAGACTAATTAAACCCAGAGTGAACCAAGTCCCGACTCTAGCCTTATCAGCACCTCCCCACCACCAAGGCCCAACAGGGCTGCCGGCCTCCGGTGCTCTCTATGTCCCGCAGGCCCTGGAGAAGCTACGGTTCCTCTACCTGGCGGACATCCTGCTGGATTCCATCCCAGGGCCTCGGCCCCTGACCCTGTGCCTGTTACATCTGCAGGTGAGGGTCTCTGCCGGCCCAGGGCAGATGGCAGGGGTAGCTCCTGGGAGCGAAGGAAGATGAGGACTGGACAGCTGGGTGTATTAAAGACACGGTCTTGTCTAGATGACTGTCTGTGGCCCCCATTTAATTTTCTCTATTTCTCCTCCTTCTTTTCTCTGCCCCCCACCTTTTTTTTTTTTTTTTT